TACGAGCGAGCACTGGGCCAGTCGTGGGCCAGGGCATCACGGACCCCAGATGGTGCCAACTTGAATCGACATGCACAGCTGCCAAAATTTCTCTATATTGTAATCATTATCACACTTGTAATAATCACTTTAATGAGCTTATGTCTGAAATTAATTCATGTTTGCTAGAAGAATTTTATGTATGATTCTATTATCTTGAACTGTTTATTTGTGAAATGAACATTACTTGGACACACTCACTTCTACTTTGTAATGTAGACACATTCATTTTCTGTAAAGCTGCTTTGAAACAATGTGTATTGTGAAAAGCGCCATACAAATAAATTTGAATTTAATTGAATCACGCTGCATTGAGAAATAAGTTGGGCAGTGAGAGTTGTCTTCTGGGGCAAATAGGTCGACCTCTGCCCTCCCAAAGACAGACCAAATTTTCTGAACTGTCTGAGGCTGTAGTGTCCATTCTCCCGTAGCTACATTGCCTCTGGACAGCATGTCTGTGCCCACATTCTGACTGCCTGGCACATGAACCGCTCTTAGCCAAGAGAAGTTTGTTTTGGACCCAAAATAGGAGGCATCAAGCCATCATGTAAAGGGGGCGTGACCTGAGACCACATTGGCGATTGATATAAGCATCCACCGCCGTGTTGTCTGACAAGACCAGGACGTGGTGCCCTTCCAAGGCTGGCAGAAAGGTTTTCAGGGCCAAGAAAACCGCCATCAATTCGAGGCAGTTGATATGCTGGCATTGCTCATGGGTCGACCAGGAGCCGGACGCTGGATTGCCCTCTAACAGTGTGCCCCAACCCGAGTTGGAGGTGTCTGTTGTCACTTACCTTCCTCCTGGAGGCCAGTCCCAGCTGCAAAGCTGATTGAAACAGGCGGGGAGTTGTCCAGGGCGCCACAGCTCTGATACAGCGGTGGGTTACCTTGATATAAAACCGGCCCAGGCTCCAAGCATGGGACGGGACGCGGGCTTTGAGCCAAAACTGAAGAGGCCGCATGTGCAGCAGGCCTAGAGGAATCACAGAGGAGGCGCCCACCATGAGGTCGAGTAGCCTCTGAAAACTTTGAGGGGACGTGAAGTCCCTGGTTTCAAAGATGGCGCCAGTCGCTGAATAGTCAGGGACCGCTTCTGCGTAATCCATGCCCGCATCTTGGCTGAGTCTATGATTGTCCCCAGAAAGACAACCTGCTGTCTGGGTGACAACTGACTCTTGGGCAGGTTGATTCTCAACCCGAGTCACTCTAGGTGGCTGAGTAACAGCACCCTGTGAGTGACTACCTCCTGTTCTAATCTGATGGCACATAGTCTTAGAGTTTGTACTTGACTAAATGGGGCCCAGGTCAGGAAGCAGACAGACTGGCTAAACCGACCGTCAGCTAGCCGCCTCACGTCACAGAAATCAGATAATTCTCAGCACATAGAGACTCTTTCACCTAGATGTCACACTATAGAGACTGTGTCTGTTACCTGAACTAGAAAATACAAACAACTTAACAATTGAATTTATGTTCAACAAATAAAAAACAGATGTAATACAGATAAACAAATGATAAAGCTTGGCTTATTGAATATCAGGTCCCTTTCTACGAAAGCACTTTTTGTAAATGATATGATCACTGATCATAACCTAGATGTGCTCTGTTTGATAGAAACCTGGCTAAAACCTGATGATTACATTATTTTAAATGAGTCTACCCCCCAAGATTACTGTTATAAACATGAGCCACGTCCAAAAGGTAAAGGGGGAGGGGTTGCTTCAATTTATAACAGTGTTTTCAGTATTTCTCAGAGGGCGGGCTTCAAGTATAACTCGTTTGAAATAATAGTGCTTCAAATAACATTATCCAGAGAAGCACATGTTAATGATAGATCCCCGCTGTGATGTTTGTACTGGCTACTGTATACAGGCCACCAGGGCACCATACAGACTTTATTAAAGAATGTGCTGATTTTATATCCGAGTTAGTGCTGGCTGCAGATAAAGTTTAAATTGTTGGTGATTTTAATATCCATGTTGATAATGAAAAAGATGCATTGGGATCAGCATTCATAGACATTCTGAACTCTATTGGGGTTAGACAACACGTGTCAGGACCTACTCATTGTCGAAATCATACTCTAGATTTAATACTGT